GACCGCCGGCCGCCCTGTGTCTCCCTCCCCCCGTCCGACGGTCCTCCCCGACCCGGCCAATGATCGGTGATAAATGGTGTCGCGGCGGCGGGCCGGCAGATTAGCTGTGACCGCCGAGATCGGCCGGTCTCGGCCAGACCCCCGACGGAGGCTCCGCGCGACAGCACCACCTGATAACGACTGTCGCGATGTGCCGACATCACCGGCATGATACCGCCGTGCTCGACATGAGACGACGCGCCGCCGACACGGCGAAAACTGTCACACATTCCTGGAACACCAACTGCGCTACCGTGGAACCTAACGGAGCAGACAGCGCCTAAGAAAATACGTTATCTCCGTCATGCTGCACATTTGTGCCACATTCGTGCATATCGTGACGTTTACGAGTAGAATAACACTTCAGGTGCACATCCCTCGTGCGATGTGCATGCATTATCATGTCGAAAAAGCACCGACCGGGTGCAGATTGCAAAGTGTCGTGTCACCACTACATTGTGTGAAACATTTTCATTGTCCCCCATACACAAACCACACAAACAGCGCGCGACAAACACGACAAACACATCATTGGCCGCCGGTACGGTGGCTCGCCATCCGGGCCGGAAGACAGCGTCCGCAGAACGGTAACTGGCTGCCGCGTGCCGAACGCAGCTAATGAACCTCGGTTGCAAACGACGCGCCGATGCTAATCTCACGTCGGAAGGCCTGTCGGCGCGGCGGAGGGCACAAAGGCAGAGCGGCGCACCCGTAATGACCCTGTTTGGGACGCCGGGAGACGGTGGGCACGGCACGATGGGATGGCCGTGACGCAGAGGCACGGGGCCTACTGCTGACCCATCTTTGACCCACAGCTGAGCCATTGCTGACCGACCAGTGACTCCCCACTGACCCATCAATGACTTTTGATCCACAACCCATCGCCGAAAGAGCGGCACCTCGAGCGTTGAGATTTGGACACAATGCTCGTCTTTAGGGCATGCGGTAACACTTGCTTATCCTGGGTAGTGGAAACCGTTTAGCCTTTGTCACTTGGTTGTTGGTGCATTTAATTTACATGATGATAAACCTTCGAGATATTTGATAAAAAATTAACAACATCCTAATTAAGCGTAAAATCGTAGCTATAGCCTATACCGAGGAGTTACTGATGATGAGGCTTCTTTTATCAAATAAAACAAGTATATCAGTACGCTCCCAGTCCTTCTCACGTGCGATTATCAGCTATCAAGAGCAATGGTCGCTGATCCGGGGGAGTGACCTGTACGTCATGAGGCCACGGGGGCCAGTAGGGCACCGAGCACAGGACCTCCCGCCGGCCGTATTCGCAGACAAATCCGCTCAAATCCGGCCACCGATAGGCGGTCGGCCGCCGCACCATCCGTCGCCAGATTTATGACTATTTGCCGGGCCGGCGGCGGCTCTAGTCCATATCGAAGGACGCCAGACGCCTCAGGTTGGCTGACCCGTGAAGGAGCGGTGGCCAGCGCGGTGAATGGCTGCGGACCTTTGCAAAATGATATATCACCTTATAGTGTGATATATAATTTTGTAGCCAGACAGGGCCAGTTTTTTTCCTCAGAGAAAAATGAATCTGCGTGCGGAATGTGGAAATATGAATGCCCAAACACATTTCGCGATGGGAGATTTGAGAAATATTGCATTAATACAGCCCAAAATTCAATTTAAGCGTTTAAAACATCACACCACCCACGTCTGCATCAAGTCTGTTTCTTTTGGGTTTCACTTGCGTGCGCGGTAGATTCGGCCGTTAAGGTCGTCATAATTTTATTGGCTATTTGATTTGGACCGAGTCGGCCATAATTCAGAGACCAGAGGCCAATTAAGCGAGGTCACGAAGCCCCAGCCTCCACTGATTCCGTTTTCTAGGCCTGCCGGTCGCCAACGTCGGACTAATGAGGTTATTTGACCATAACCCGCTGCAGGTATTGCCTGGTTTCTTGTTAACCCAGGTTATTTGTTTATAATCAGAACAATGAAATACTGGTGGTCGTTGGGATTCCAGAATATTTTCATTTGACTTGGGTGCTTAACGATTAATTGTCATTAACGGGGTACCACGAAAACCAATAAAGCGAATAGTGAGCGCATTACAACCATCCATCGAGTGTTCACTGAACAGTGGCGCGTGTGAACCATAGCGCGTAATGCTAATACACGGATGTCCAAACCGCCCATGGCATCCGCATGCATGACGTTCCCGCCTCTCCCCAGCCCCCTCCCCTCCCCTCCATTGTTATGGTTCCCCAGCTGACGGTCTGGATCACAAGGTCGCCTTTGGGGTCACCAGCTGTGGCCACGGTCACTCCAGCAAAAACCGGCCACCCCGCTGGGTCGCGACTCTCGCTCCGCTCCGTTCGCCTTGATCCGATGAGCGGCCGACTCCGCCCGGCGGCGGCAGACGCTCCGGAGAGAGGAGACGAGGAGAGAGAGAGGGACGGAGGAGGATGTTACACTGATTGGAGCAGTGCGCGCCCATCGATGGAGAGCGTTAATGAGTCGCCGGACGCGCCCGAACACGGATCGTACAAGGAGGAAGATGTGTATCGGACAGGCGAGTTTGGGACGACTGACAGACTGTGAGTTGTGTTGTCCAAACTGTTTACATGCCAGAAGGGAATCCCTCGGAAATGCGTTCGATAATCCTATTTAGGCAGCAGAAACAGCTGCAGAATTTGGCTAAATTCTTGCTTACTAACCTGCTTACTTAAATAGATATCCCAATGAACAGCAAGGTAATTCCCGACACTTAACAAACGACCTGAGGCATGGTAACATCATCACCAAGTTTGTGCGCTGGGCTGTGGCTCCAACAGCCAAACTTTCCCGCTGTCAGTTCTGCTGTGGGAACTCTTGTCTTGAATAAACCCACTCCACTAAAAATACCGCATACCACGAAAAAGGAGCCATTTTCGGAGAAAAGCGGGCGGCGGGCATCTCCATGCCGCCGCGTGTTTCTACATTGTCGGCTGGCCCCTCAGGTCGAGAGCACCACGGTGACTATAAATAGAGAGCACCACAGTTTCCCGTAGAGCGCCCGCGTCGGCCCGCTGAAGAGCGGGGTCGAGTGGGCGATATAGCTGGGCTGCCGGCAGCGGCGGGTCGAGTTCGACCCATTGCACTATGGGTCCGATGCAGGAATTAGCACGCCAAAAATAATAACTGCCTTTACACCAGAGATGAAAGCCAGAACATCCGAAATGGATTTTGCGTGATTTCTAAACATGTAGGTACCGTGTGACATGTGAGATGTGACGTGTGTACCTATATAGTAGTGCTGGACGTTTTTATGTCAACCGTTTTCAGGGTGCAGGCTCTGACAGACAAAATGTCAGCTGAGTCCAATTTCGGTTTCTTGACAGAAAGCGATCTTCATTGCGATTAGCGGCTATTCATTTTTCCTTTAACTTGTTAAGCAGCTTTCCCAGTGCTCAAATGTCATCAGTCGTCAATTAAGCATTCAAAATACGAGCAATGCTAGCTGAAAAATCCTTATACTTGAACCGGCCCTACACCATCTGCACTGGTCAAGACGATGTCAAGAATGGCTTTGTAAGCAATACACATTGCTTATCTGCCTGTTTTGCTAGTGATGGAACGACAAGAATATACGTGCGCTCGCTACAATCGTCAAGCTCAAACTACCCCGGCCACGTGGGTACAGTGGGCCGGGCACGCGGTCAAACCGCCTGAGGGCCAGGTCGCCAGACTAGTGCTGGAATGTCCGGAATTCGGACCGCTAACCCGAAAGAACTGCTTTTTTTGCAAAGCCATCAGTTATGAGTTTCTGTCATAGATGTCTATAAAACATTATTCGTATCCACCAATACCCTGGTATTTTTGCCTTTGTGACCCTGCCGCAGCGCTCGCCGGTATGTCACAGCCGCAGCTAAGCGCACGGACATCATCGGAAAAAAGCTTCATAACTTGCTTCGTCGCAGGTGGACGCAGCTAACTGACCTTGTTTCTGGTCAGGCAAGTATTGGGGAGCAAGGTAATATCAAAAATACCGGGGGGCATTGGGGGGCATTTAGTATTGCTCTGTATTTGTAAGTCTCTTGAAGCATTGCACACACATCTGTGACATGGACATTTAAATTAGCTGTGACAATAAACAAGCAATGACACAGCTGACTTTTTTGCATTCATCACATTGCCCAAGCTTCAACTTATTAGTTTTGACCAAATATTTCCGTTTAACTATTATTTAGAACCGCCTATACTCGGGTAATTCCGACGTCCCTTTTCTCTCGGACGTGGACAAGGCAATGGCGTTCCATGATATGTGTCAGTTTGCGATGAAATATTGGGTACATGTGACATTTTTGGCAAAAATTACTGCTGTGTTCGCAAAATATGGACATTTTTACGTCGTTTGTGTCACATTTCAAGCCATTTTGAGAAAGTCACCTAAATTATTTTTGGCGTGCTAAATCGTGCATCGGACCCATAGTGCATTGTGGTGACCGGGCGGCCGGCCCGGCCCGCCGGCCGCCCGCTTTGTCACACCCCCGTCACGAAGGTCAACAGAGCCGTAACGATGGCCAATCGGCTCCGGTGGCCGGTAGTGACGCTGTTTTGAGCGTGGCGGTGGAGGCGGCCTGTGGCCTGTGAGAGGGCGTCACCCTGGTCGGTGGAATAAAAATGCGCTTCCCTACGAGCCATGGAGGAAGGCCATGTCGTTCGCTCCTTGAGGGAGTGTCCAGTGCGCTCGGCCCGGAGCGTTCAAGCCTTGCAGCACAGTCTAGCTGCAGGCGCTCGTTCTCAGTGCCATCTAGTGGACAATAATGCAACTACAGTTGGGATTGCGCTGCTTGATCGATGGTTATACGGTAACGGGTAAGGACGAATTTTGGCTCATTGATTTCAAATGATATACCCGTTGAAAACAAAAAGAACCTCTTTTAACCTATGAAACTTTTCCAGACCGTTTCCTAAACCAGGCATCGGGGTCTGCACTTTCCATACTAGGTACTCACCAGAGTTGCCCTGACAGCAGATGGCTTCGTGCAGCAGCAGCATCCCTGCAACAGGTAAAACGATATCGTCAGTGGGTCGCCCACCATCACTACTGACACTAAAATACTGACACACCAATACCTACTGACTCACTGACACTTGACACACTGACACAACACCACCTACCAACACCAACACCAGCGCCCCGCCGAGTCGACCATGGCACAGTCGCCCCCTCAGGGGTGACGCAAGTGACGGTGCACTATGGTTGGAAACGGCCTCACGGATGGCCGGGGGTCAACGCGAAAAAATGTTTTGCCCATAACTTGTTAATGCGTAGACCGACTGCGATGAAACTTTGCATAGGTATACCAGTGTCTTTCGTGCATCATACAGTAACTCAGAAATGACGAGGTCACGTCACGTCACGCGTGTGTGACGTCATCATTGCAAGTATGTCATAAGTCGCCTATGTCTTTCGTTATGTTATCGATATCGTGAGGCATTTTGAACATGTTTTGAATACTGCTATTACTGAATGGATATTGTTGTTATGCTTTAGGGCGAGAAATATCAACGTAGTGACGCACAGTGTCTTACTATTGGTCATAAAGGGTCACAAATTTGGAGAAAGAGTATTTATGATTTTTTTTTTAGATTAGGCAAAAAAGTAAGAAATAAAATGACGATCAAATGACAAAACATGCGTCAGATTAACCCGGCAGTTGCTGGGGCATTTCCCCATCCGCCGTTTGCCGGGGGGGGGGCGTTCAACGCCCCCAGCCGATAACTCGCGAACAAATAGGCGCAGCGAAACGCACGAGGCGCGGCAAACGAAAGAAGAACGCGACGAGACGATTCACATGAATACTTTAAAGCTGAATTTCGAGGTCACAGGTCGGGTCAAGGTCAGGTCAAACACTTGAAATCGGGCTTTCAGTAGCATGGACTTTAGAACCTCGCAATCGGTGCCTCGCGTTTCGCGTTTCGATTATATCGTCATCAGTTGGTCCTAAATAAATTCAGTCATCAGTTGGTCCTAAACAATCTGTCACAACTGTCACAACTGTCACAACCCTTCATATAAGTGCTAAAAGAGTGTCAGATCAATGTAGGGGTCAGTCAAGCATAGGCCACTGGCCAGGGTCAAAGTCAGGTCAATCAGGTAAGCACATAACCCCGAAAATTAAAACTGGTACCTATCCGCAGCCCATGCATGACACATGTTTTATGGGTACTTTTGGGCGTAGAACACGATGGTGACATTCATTTTATCATACGAGTACGTGGCTGGTTGAAAAAAGATCAATTTCAGAAATGCATGCGTCATGGTCGTGAAGTAGTCACGAGAAATTGCCAACATTCAGTTCAAGATTTTGGAAACTGTAGAACGATGATCAAAAACCATAGATAGCCATTTGATTTGCCATGGTATTGGCAGTGTAATGGAGTTTACAGCATGTCTGTATGTCTGTTCTGTCAGTGGATATCCATATCCATACTCCAGGATATCCATACACGTTTGCACGATATTCATACTCCAGGTGCAGGGGCGAGCAGTTACTTCTTACGAGGGGTGCGGAGTCGAAGTCAGAGTCGGAGTCGGAGTCGGAGTCGGAGTCAGAGTCGCCCAGAGTCGTGGCAACGAGCCAGGAGTCGGAGTCGGAGTCGGGGTCGGTCAGGAGCCCGCAGTGGAAGTCGGAGTCGGTCCGAATCGGAACAGCTCCATCGCGACTCCGAAACACTGGCAGGGGTCCGGAGTCGGAGACAGAGTCGGCCGGAGTCATGGCAACGAGTCAGGAGTCGGAGTCGTAGTCGGAGTCGGATTTGGCGCCACCACGACTCCGCAACCCTGCTTCTTACCATCATTTATAAGGATAAGCGATTGCAAGACTGACGAGCCGACCTGGTGCTAACGAAGCGACGGGTAGGTACGCCTCGGGAGATGACGCTTCACGGACGATTTTGCGCACAAGTGCGCAGTCTGCTTTTACGTTCCCCTTACGCAGAATTGAACAGCGATTTATTCTGCCAAAAAGCTCAATGGAGGTCGATGGAGAACTTTTTGTATGTCCAATGAAACATAAACGCAATTTTGCAAATATTGCTGTGGTGACACTGCAAACAGAATGCAATGCCGTTCCTGATTTTGAACACGCATGGGAAAAAGAGTCACTCCACTCGATAGCCAACATAACAAGGATTATTTTGATATATAATAATCCAGTTTTACAACGTCATGGAGGTACTCCACATCAAAGGTTGTTTAAACCTTTGACGGCGCACCAAAAAAGTCACTGTCAGAAACTCCCGATTCCACGTACAATAATGGAGACTAAATGCGCAACTAAATAATTTTTTCTGCCCAATTCAAAACATTTCATCAATTTGCAACAGAATGACACCCCAAATATACATATATTCCGAAATTGCCCACGGCCATCCGTGAGGCCGTTTCCAACCATAGTGCGGTGGTCCGATTCTGACACAGACTACGTGCCGGTCTGTTTACTGGCAGAGTGTGGGTCGGTTCAGAGCGCCGTTATCACTGTCTGAAGTGACGGCGGAGCAGTAAGAAGGGATGAACATCTCTAGAGATGCTGCTGTGTCTCCGCGGGTCGACTGCTGGGGCAAGATGATGACCAAGATAGGGCTGCTACAGAAGCAGCGAGATGGTAAGGGTTGCTGGGGAAGGAGAAAGTGCTCTCCAAAGAAGCGGGACGCCCTGCTAACCGGTGTGAGGTCGGCAGAGCGGGTCTGTAGCGGGTCGGATGTGGACACTGATACGGTGCAGTATCACCATTACACGTCATAAACTGGCGTCCAGCCGGGCGGCCGGGGCCGGCGGTCAGCACCTCCGGGGCGCAGCTGGGTCAGGGCGGTCAGCCGGCCGCCGGGTCACGGGTCAGAGGTCAGAGGTCAGGGGTCAGCGCGGTCACCGGGCGGCAGGAAGGGACAGTGGCTGCCGCGCCGTGAAAGCGCCGGAAGTCGCCAGGCACCGAGAAACGTTTCCTGGCGGTCAGGACACGCCACCTCAGCCCAGGTCGGCCGGCCGGCGGACACTCGGAATATGGGGGCTTTCGCCTATTATTTAGGACTCTCCCTTCCTTGGCTTTAATCGCAGCCAGCCATCCTGAACACCCAGCTTCATTGTCTAAAAAAAAAAAATGAAGCTTGTTTAACAGTTCTTGTTACTAGGTGTGCCGGCCAAAAGAACAAAGCACATACTTCAAGTTCAGAATGTTACATTCTGGACGATTTCAAACATTGACCTCAGCCTGAACCTCACACCGCCATCAGCCCACCTGACCATAGCCAAGTCGTTGGGTTCAGAAGTTGAAAGTTGAAGCCACTCGGCCGTAAGGCCGTTAAATCGTCGCACCTGATGCTCAGTGGACCCAGCGCACCCGTGACCGTCGGCTCTGACCAGTCATGCCACGGGGTCCGTCACCCTATCCCACCCAATGGCACAATCCGACCCAGAGTCCGTCATCCGCCCCAGCGCAGCCCGGCATGCCACCGGCAGCCGGTGAATTTTCCATCCACAGCCGGCTAAAAATAATATCACTAATCTGGGACACACATGAGCATTAGTAGTTGGGAAGCATGTCGTCTTACGACTCTACCATGACTCGACACACGACTGCCCCGTGACTCCACATGACTCTACCGTGACTCTACAGACGCGTCTCGCCAAGACGGCACGGCGCGGCTGGACGATCGCCAGCCGTCCATGTGTGAAGAGCTTGTTATGGAAAACGCCGACCGGCTAAACAATCCAGCTGTGTGCCGCCGGCCACACAATAGCGCCGGGCATGCCATTCATGTGGCCCGGCCGTTCCGGTCGACGTCCGGCCGCACCGGCCACAGGCGCGTCACGGACGCGTCACAATCGTCACAAACAACGCGAGACGGCCGGACCGTCACGGAGGTGACGGAGACGGCTGCTCCGTGACAGGTACAGTAACAGACGGGCACGGCGAGTGCCATTGATAGAACAGAGAGTGACTTGAGTGATACAAATCTGTCCGACACAAATCAATGTTTCGATTCACGAATATCCGTCCAGAAGACGTAACAGCAGTAGCCGCGGCTATAAATACAAGAGATACAACAGCCGTCAGTGCCGATTCCTCCATCAGTCCACGCCGTCACGGTCAATGCCACCAGCAGCGGGCACTTGTTGCTGACTGCATAGGCCACAGCAGGTGGTCTTTCAGCCACGAGCCGGCCCATAGCCGTTACAGTTGCGCAACAGGTTATGGTGCTATTAGCGCAGGCCATATGCAGACTAATAGTTCAAGGTGTAGGCCGTGGCATTCCAGACGAAATCCAGTATGTACCAGATCAGAGATAAATGTTCAAGACTGATCAATGATTAAAAACGAGACTCATCGGCAATGATTTATCAGCTCGGTGGTTTTGGTTGTGATCATTGTGCTAGTTGTGGTTTCCTTACTTGTAGGCCGTCATGTGCATCTGGCAGTTGGCACTAGCCTGGAATAATCCGCTCACTAGTCTGTGTTGTGTGGATTGACGGTGATAGTCCACTCACTCAGTCGCTCACTCACTCACTCACTCACTCACTCACTCCACTCACTCACTCCACTCTATACTGGGTGGAGTGCCAGTACGAACAATCGCCGTCCAGCGCCAGCCAATTAGTCGGTACAGGACGGACCGATTTGGGGACCGCCAGGGCCGTCCGCTGGTCACCAGTCGGCCCATCACGGGTCACGGGGGCCACGCCAAGGTCACCGGCATTGGCCACTTATATCCATTACCACCTCAGCGGCCAACAATGGTGGCCGTGTCGGGTTCTGTCCGCTAGCTCGAGAGAGACGGACCGAGGCTCGCCCGGCCGGCCGGCAGACCACAGCACACGGTATGGCTTGACAAAGGTGCCGGAAGCGTTTCGCCGCCGGCGGCCGGGCCAAATTGTCAGGGTTTCGCTGCCGTCATATGGAAATGCACACGCCTTCGATGGCGAGAGTGAGAGGGGGTGGTTCATCGTCGGACGAAGGCTACCGTTTCCGGGCAGACGAGGTGTGCCGACGGTGGTATT